GAAATCCGAAGCGCTTTAAAACGAAGCTTCTCATTACCTTTCTAACTTCGCTCTGCATGATGGCCACTAATTTGTTTCCCGCGTCATTGCTGGGGAGTGGTCGTATTTTCCGTGCTATGAGCTGTTCTGCAACTCGTAAGTGGACTTCAGCACCATAATTCCGACAGTTTAGAGTCGGCTTGTTGCCACTCCTGTTCAGTGTCAAGGCATTGACTTGCGTGGTTCAATCGTCTACACGAGCAGTCACTTGATCCATTTGCTCCTGGACTTGACCAGCCTGATTGGGTGGCCCTTTCTACAAGTTGACTATTTCTAATTTCTTTCTTTCCACGTAGGCAATTTCTAATTTCATTTCCACTTGTCCTGCTTTAATCTTTCTTGAACTGCTTCCATCTCTTCTTGACATCCTTTCTTCAAGATGTTTCATCTCTTTCTTAGACTAGCTTCCATATTTTCTTGAACAGTTTCATCTCTTTTTCAACGGAATCTTGAACCACAGTCTTGAAATGTTGTGCGATTATCTGTCTGTCCATATGCGTTTTCATTAAAATTTTCTTTTGCTATTTTGATTTCTAATTTTAATGAAAGGAAACTGCTTTTATAATTTTAACAACTCCAAAATCATTACTTTATATATACGTATACTCATATATGCGTATGTGTGCAACGCATGATTTATTAATTATTTACTTGTTATTCTACCCCCAAATAAATAATCTTGGATTGTATACAGGAGCGCGCATTTACTGCTTTGCCTCAGGTGAAAAAGCATATAAGCACGACTCTGATTGGAACATAAAAAAGCATCTATACTGAAACCCCTGTCTACCACCTCCACTATTCAAAACGGCCTGGAGGAGGAAGTGATCCTTAGAGAGGTTTCACTGAAACATTATCTTTTCAATGAAATTGAAAGAATAAATAAATACAAAACTACTTAATATTTTCCCTCCCATTAAAAACATAACGTTTTTTGGGGGGGAGGGGAAGGAAGAATTTCCGAAAGAGAATCTAGAATCTCTAGAAGTAAACTACTGATTATTAATTCAAAAGTTCTCTACTCATAATGAAAAATATATATATATATTTAGGAAAACATATTCATTGAACAAATCAATATAATGTGTAAAACATATTCCCAAACTTCCATGGTTTTAATACAAAATCATAAATGTTTGATAAAATTTTCTGTTTATACGCTGCAACCCATCATTTGACAGTTTTTTGCATCCTTTATGCAAGTTCTTTTTTTGCAGAGCTTAATTTATCAAGATTTTAGCACTTGTGTCTATCGAAATCAAAGTATCATTCTGGACAAATACAGATGCACGGGGTAATACGAAATAACCTATCATTTAGTAAAATTCCATTGCAGTTTTCAAATCTTAAAAAAGTCAATTCAACTTGAATTTTGCCTCATTAGAATTTTTAGTCACCCAGACAAGATATATTTAGAGATGTCAAGAAATGGACTTATTAAAACGTTTACATGCTGTAAATGTTACACTGGTTTACACAAACGCATTTTTAACAGAAAATTTGTTTAGAGATTTTTACACACTTTATAATGCTGATTACACATACTAATCAGTCTTCTCACTGAGCTCTACACTTTATAACAGAACCTTCCATAACATAATCATTTTAAAGGTTATTTTAGCTATCTTTTTAAACCCAAATATTCATTGGAAACAATCAGTCCGGCTTAAATGAGCTAGCTCCCAACATAATTTTATCAAAAATGCAAATATGAACATTAAAAAATATATTTTCTAGACATCCCTTGCATTGTAAAAAAAACCCTTTCCCAATCTTTCGTCAGTGGTTCTTAATATTTTAAGAAATAATAAAATTATTTAAAAAAAAAGAAATTAATAAAATTCTCCTTCAAACTTATATATTCTCAAACTTTAACTTCATTTTCTCCCTCCTTTTCACAAGCCTTCAAAGTGTAACTGGAAGCATAGTCGATGGGTATTTGAATCCCAGCAAGGGGATTGTAAATTTTTTTCACATCTCTAGCATTAAACAAAAACAACAAAAACAACCCCCCCCCCCCAAAAAAAAAAAAAAAAAAAAAAAAAAAAAAAAAAAAAAAAAAGAGAGAGAGAGAAAGAAAATGATGATCCTGCAAGTAGCATTCAAACTAAAAGGTGGTGGACTACAATTCGTCATCACAGGATTTGGTAATTAGATCCCCTAATCACAGTCGCCCTTTAAAAAGAGGAGTATGTAAGGTATTTTCCCTCTCCTTTCCGCATGCCTTCATCATGTAACAGGAAGCATACTCGAGAGGTCCAAGATTAGAGTCCCGGTGAATGCCCTGCACATTTCTCACACATCCTGCTAAATATACTAGATATGTATGTATAACGACTCTTCAAACTAAAGCATACTATGATATACAATTACATCATTATTTATTAAAAAATATCACCATCCCACTTGAAAAATTTTTTAATAAAATAGCTGTTACTTGATATTACTGTCAAGATACTAAACATGCTGAATATTATATCAAGATACAAAACAAGCTGAATAGTATAGCAGAAGCAAAATTATTTGTTTATTGACTCTATACAAGTAATATAAATACACTATTTTACAGAGACATTTCTGAATTTTGTCAGAAATAACAACTCTATGGCATTAGAAACTGTAGTGGACAAGAGTAGTGAATATATATAATCACAGAACATGTATTTTGAAAAATTTCAACCAAACATATAACACGAATTAAAAAGAATACTACAGAAAATATATTTAGATTCTCAGTATATCACATTTTAAATTCATTATTAGTTTTTGCTGCCAAACTTGTTTAAAAAAGGGTTTTAAAATTTTAATCAATGAAAAACATATAATGTCATAAAAACAAATACAAGCACATATATTCACAGAAATGATGATTGTACATAAACGTTTGTGCAGTGTCCTCATACAAACAATTATTAATACTTTAAACAATGATAAAAGTAATTCACATTCTAACTAAAATTATTATAATTATCTACAATTTTAGTCTGAGATTACAATGTTTACTTTGCTTCACATTTTCAATTTAAATGAAGATGTAATATGGAATAATGAAAATACACAGTAATTTATTATATTAAAATATATTTTAGTTGAAATGTCAAAGTTTTTAAGTATGATGCACAAATCAATGGAAAAACCACTTTGTTCATAAGGCTCAAACATAAAATTACATTTAGAGCAATTTTTAGATCAATAAATGGCCTGAAAATATTCAGAAATTTTCAAAAGTTTAGCTTAGAAGAGCGATCATTGCTGTATTAACATATAAGAAAACGTATTAGCTTAATTTCTAAAATGGCCTAAAGTCACTAAGAAATGGTCAATAACAGATCGACAACATCAACATTAGACCTTTTGAAATTGCAAAAGTAATAATTCAATATTTAATGTATAATTTTTTTCATTTAAAAACTATACTAATAGAAACAATGTAACTGATATAAACCACATTTACTCATTGTATCTCAACATTAATAACTCATAATATCAGATTGAAGATACATATTTGTAACACATACTTTGAAAGTTAACTCTAAAATATAATTTTTGATTATAAGTAATGGGATTAAACATACATATGAAATATCAATGGCCCCCAAATATCTGTTTATATTATTAAAGAACACTTTAATTTTAAAGAAAAAAAAGACTAAGAAACCCAAAAAGAAAATGAGCAGCCACAGTTAAAAGATAAATTGGAATGCTTGAATGGAACTTAAATCTAAAAATTTTAAAACAGTTTATGATATATGAATACTTTCAAAAGTACTGGAAATAAATAAAGTTTCTTCAAATATCTAATGACTTCATAAACGAATCTACTAAAAAATACAAGTTAAATTTTAAAACAGAAATACATACACAAAAACTTTTCTATTAATTGAAATTTTACTGGGTGACTCAGCTTAACTATGTGGTTTATAAACCTTATCCATATTTCATATCTCTGACAATTTTAAAACCATTACAAATTATGAAACATGTAACAATACAGTACATTCAAAAATTCTCCTAAATCACTTCAAATATTCACAAACTGCAATCAAATCAGGTACATGAAACAAATTGGCCCATTCTAAATGGCAGAATATAAAATAACACAATTTATCTTCTTTGTGCTCATTCAGACTACATAACATGCAGAAACTTATGCAAATAACAACATTAATTCCCATAATGTAATTTAATGCATTACAATGTAATGTTACATTTACAATGTAATAATCCCATAATGCAATTTACTATACACTTTAAAATACTTGTAAATAAAAACTTTAATACTTAATTTATTATTTTTAATTTAAAACCAATAAATTGAATCCAAAATTATTAAAATAACCTGTTAAATTTCCGTGTGCTTCATACTAATCATAACCATATGCAATTCTTTTTTATTTTCATAAAAATTAATTTTAAATGAATGAAAACATTACATTTATAAAATAATTACATATATGTAAAGAAAGATTTTATATCTTAGGGGTATATGCAAATCAGCCTTCAAAATATAAAACAGATGGCTAGAAAGTTAATAAATTATATGATAAGTAGCTGAAATACAGAAATTTCCCTTCCAAAATTTTTTTAAATTAATTTACCCATTTTTATGATAGCAATATATACTTTATTATGTGATAAAAAGCAGAAAATTTACAGCTAATATTTATATCGTCATTTTATTTCATAACTGTCAGTTTACATACAACTTAGAATAAAAGAAAAACCCTTTCAGTACTAATTCAGAAGTCAAACAACAAAAATCAGCGTTATACATACAAAATTTTCACAGGACTAGTTTCGATGGTTTTACCGAACCATCATCTTCAGCTGCAAAACCGCAAATGAACAAGATAGGAAATAATGATTAGATAAGATAAGAAAGCCTGGACAAGTATAAGCAAGTGGCGCCATCTGTTGGCGAAACCAAAACTAAAACATAATTTCTCTAAAAGCCGAAGGCAAATTTGGATTGGAATTAGGATCGTTAACTAGGACAGAAACATTTTTTTGAATGTGAAATGCCTCTAGAAAATCCAGTTCTCCAATGGAAGATGTTTCAGTACTATGTATTTAAAAATATGCTTCAAACTGTTTGCCAGATGCTTGAATCGAAATTTAAAAATAATCAATTCAAATTTTATGCTAAATAACACTACTAGATGAGAAATTTGTGAACCAAAATAATATAATTATATAATTCAAAAACTTCAATATGCAGTTCCTATATTTTTTGCAATTATAATAATTATAACTTTTTTTTAACTCAGAGCTTCATTTTTTAAAATTAATGCTTATTTTAAGTGACTAAAATCATAAGAGCAAAACAGTAAAATATTAACATATTTATATGCTTTAAAACAATGATAAGGAAATCTTGTTTAAAACAGGATTCCTTATTCTTTGAATCTAATAAAAAAAAATCACATTATAGCTTGCAAAAAATATATTAAAATATGTCAGTGATGCAACAATAAATATTTATCAACATGTTCCTAAGTATTCCTTCTTCTTATAAAATAACATGCATATTATACTGAACTGCTGCAATATAATCAGTACTTCACAAATGACTAGGACTTCGTACATGAAAGTAAAAGGGCACTTACTTGGAAACAATATATTTGGCAATATACTGTTTACAAGTATAATACATGCTTTGTTTGTTAGAAGACTAGTCACTAAACAGGGAGAAACATCCACAGAAAAAGTGGTCTAACCCTTATTTATTGAACAACTCACACAGATGAAAGTAAATTAAAATGACTAGTACCACATACAAGGAATTACAAAAATTATTGCTTACCGATTCATAGAAATATGCTCACTTGTAACAAGTCTACTTACAAAACATATTACACATAAATACTTTAAAATTCATAGACACGGTATTGAAGAAAGTTGAATATGGAATACCAACAGGAGGTACAAATTATATTATGGAAAGGCACAATTCTTACACAATCTAATTTAGCAAGTTAGTTATACATTTGGTAAATACACTTAACCTAATACATGGAAATTTAATAAACCTATTATGGGAAAGGTGGTTATTTCACAGGATGCAACAGTAACATTTATACCTCTAATGATTAATGATAATAATAATTATGCCATCAAAAATAGAACATCAAAACAATGTGCAAGATTTTAGAGAAATTCTGAAACAATACTGAAAAGAAAATGATCTACAATGAGATTTTTCATATTACAAGACAGCTGGTTATAAGGCATTATTTCAAAAGAAACTCCCGATCAAAATTATTTTTTCATATAAATGCTAATTTGTGACCCTTTTCCCACTCCTAATAACCAGATATGTTCATAACTATGAATGACCTTGTTACTTTATTTTAAATCTCATTTATATAAGTATAGAAGTGAATAAAATAATAAACAAAAGCAAATGCAATACTAAGTAGACATAACAGTAAAATAACAGCTGTAGAAAAATAAATTACATTCCAATTTTTCTTTTATAATCACATATATTACTATCCTTTATTCTGCTTTAGCTTTACATTAACTATTTTATCACAAAAGTTATTCCACTGTTTTAATTTTTTTTATCATAATACATATTTTGCTTGTTTCAAATTTTATTTCATTTTTCATCATAAAATTTATTTCATGCACATAATTTTAAAAGGGGGGAACCACATATAATAATAATAACTTTTACATAAATTGATTTACATCATATAGTTACTAAACCATAAATTACTTAGTAATGTGATTAAAAATATTCAAAAACTCAATATTTGTAGTTCTAAATAGTCAAAATAATAAGATGAAATAAATAATAGGTCTCTTTAACCCTTTGGCTACATTTGACGTATCAGTACGTCATGCATTTGTTTGGACAACGATGCACATGATGTTGTATTTGTTTGGACAAAGACGCACATAACATTCTAATATGTCAAAACGAAATTAGGAAGAATACTACCTGGTAGTGCAAAGAATGCAAAGTACCACTGCATTTACCAACCTGTGTGATAATTTGCTATTTATTACAACCAGAATTTATTTGTTTAAAAGTACTTTATAATACCAGCTGCCTCAAGTTATTTAAACATTATGTAGAAGTATATATAATGAATAATAGGAAATAAATTAATTCTTGCATAAAATGTACTGTTCTATGCACAACAACAAAAAAGAAAAAAAAGAACCCAAAGGGTTAAATAATTGCATTCAAAAACATTTAAATAAAAGCACAAAAGCACATGAACTCAAGGCCCTTATAATGAAAGCTTTGCTTAATTTGTTCTTTAAATTATCATCAATAAAATATAAAAAGAAATTAAATATTTTTTCATCTTAAACTTATTTCATACAATTTTATTATTGTTAAGGGCAAAGCTCATCCTCAAGCTAGTTGTTAGTTCAATTCTGTAAAGAAATATAATGAAGTAGAAACTTCGTAAATAAGTATAAGTGATAATTTATAAGAATTTCACTAAACCGTTGAAAAAATTGTACTTTAAGAAATACCATCACCTTGCCAATGTTAAAAAAAAAAAAAAAAAAAAAAAAAAAAAAAAATTCCAGCTTTGTTTTTAATTCAGCTTAAATACATGAATCAAATTCATATTTTTGAATGTGTAACTAATTTCTAAAAAAGGCAGGAAATTTAGATTATTTCAATATTTCATAACTACTGAATGTTAATAAGATCTCTTTCCACATTTAAAGTTTTACATAACAATAAATGTTAAAAACGCATGGCATTATTTCCTACACAGAAAAAAGAGGTATTTTTATATAAGAATCTCAAGCATTAACTATATTTACGTAATTACAAAAATGACAAATATTTTCCAAAACTTTTAATGATAAATCTAAACAATTTTAATGTTTTGGAAAAATTTTTTTAAATATATTGCATACAATTGCAATCTAAAAAAAGGAAAATTATGAAACAAAAATACTGGCACTACTCCAAACACCTTAATCAGAGAATGAGAAGAAAGGTGAAAATGTGAAATTTTCTATACTTTATAAAAAAATATTATACTGCTTTTATTTGCTTTATTACTATTAATCATGTGTGTTTATATGCTTTGTGCAGTGCCATAATATAATTTATAAAATTATGACAGGTCTCAATAAATTTACACTTAAAAATTAAAACAAAAAAAAAAAAAAAAAAGAGAAAGAAAGAAAGAAAACCGTAATAAATAATACCTCAGTAAAGTTCATAATATTACATCAATGGAATTTTGCATCAGCAGAACTAGTAAAATCTAAGTATTGCATACAGATGATAAAATTGTTAGAAATCTTAATTCACATTTTACTGTTTAACATTAAGTTTACAAAAAAATAAATAAAATAAAACTGGCACAAAAAATTCCCCCATAATAAAGCAGAATTCATCATAATTAATAAACCAAAACTTGTGCTCATATCTTTTCCCATCTTTACTTACAGCAAAGATTTATATTTTGCTTTGAAAAATTTTACTGAAATTCTATACACACACTGGTGCAAAAATAACTAAGTGCATGGCTTTAACACTTTTCTTTCAAATCCTGCAAATGCTTTTTACGCTGATTATGAAAATTAACAGTGGAACAACAACAATGGATAAAGTTTAAAATTTGCTAAAGTGAAAAAGCTAATTTTTTAATGGTCCATTCATGCCTTTGTTCTTTCGCTTTGTAACCTTTGTATGATGCTGATTATTTGGTTTCACAACTCCATCCTCATGCACAGTTGTTGTCTGGGTACATTTAGTTGTGTCAACTATCTTCTACAAAAGAAAACAATCATTTAGATAATTTAACTAATATAATATAGAAATATAACTGAAATTCCATCAAATGTGAGTATATATATGTATGTATATATATTTTCTATTCACAAGCAAATTAAAAAATTAAAATATCTGACTCCTTAAATAACTGATGATAAAGCCTAGTGTGAAAAAATACAAAGGGTAAAATAGTCATATATTTCATTTTTTCATAAAACAACCAGCCACTTATGTGACCAGTCTAGTCATTATTAAAAAAAACACACAAACAATTATTTTTATATTAAATCAGAAGCACTGCTTTTTCCTTGCTCTAATTTAATAAGTCATTCCCATTCACTGATTCTAGACTTTAGGAACAAAAGGAAAATATACAATAAGCTTTAGTGAATACTATAGCTCATTGCATAATTTCTTCTAATGTCACAACTACTTTTAATTATGCACTATAAAGGAATTTAATGAAAAAAAAAAAGTTTTACAGCAATTTTTCTTGTTTAAAAATTAAATATGAGAATAAAATGTGGTCAGTTTATTTCTTCTTCAGATCCCAATTACATTTTATTACTTTTAGAATGCTCCTATATTTCAGTATAAATTAGCAGTATTAATTTTAGCTAAAAATTTAAAATATTTTACATTGTTTTACTGATGAATCTGATGATAAAGGACACTATTATTCTGTTACGATCATAGATATTATATTTGCAGTAAAATTCCTTTCTACTTTCTAGCTACACAGTGATGCCTCACAAATCTTTTTGAAAGAACATGAATAAAAATGAAGCAGCTAAATGCAATATTATCACAGGATAAAAGATAAATTATATATAAAATACACACAATGAATGCTGAATGAATTCTGCAAGCATTTTTAGTACAAGTCCAGCCGGATAAGACATGCATCTAAAATCATCAAATTACAATTAACAAATCGAAGAATGATTCCTTACTATAAAAAAACACAAAAGACCATAAATTTTTTTAAAAAAGAATTCTGAATGAATTACAAACCATATAGCTTTAATAACACTTTTTACAAATTACAACCTTTCCCCCACACAAACCTTACACATTTGATGAAAATAATCAGATATAAGTGTAGATAAGGTGAAAAGTTCTCAGCCTGCCAATGAAAGACAGTGACTTTCAGTTAAAAAATTATTTTGTTTTTCTACATAATCTCCTTTGACTTCAATACACTTGGTCCAGCATTTCTCCATGAAAGTGACAGACTGGAAGGTGTTGAAAATATCCATCTATGACCCTCTCAACTTCTTATTGGATGCAAAGCACTTCCCAGAAACAAATTTTTTAAAGTTTGGGAACAGATGGAAGTCTGAGGGTGTCAAATCAGGAGAATAGGGGGGATGGCTAAGTAAATTGTACCCTGAATCCTGCAGTTTTCCTGCCATTAACGCTCCCTTGAGCACAGGCACATTGGTTTTGGTGAAAAATGATTCTTTTCTTCTTCAAGACAGGACTCTTGCAAATTTTGGTATCCCACTGGTCAAAAAAGTTGCAGTAATATTCACCTGTAATTGTTCTGCACTCTGCAAGGTAAATAATTAATAGGATCCCTTTCTCATCCCCAAAACACACTGGCCTTGACCTTTCTGTTGATACGATTAACTTTGCTTTCTTTGGTGCTAAACCACTGGCTTCCACCTAACTGCTTGGACCTGGTGTTTCATTTCTGGCATGTAGTGGTGGATCCATGTCTCATCCATAGTGACAAATCGCTGCACAAAATCGGTTGGATCCTTGCTGAATCTGTCCATGTGCATTTGCTTTTGCTCGGCATTCAGCAAATGTGGCACACATCTTGCGGAGAGCTTTTGCAAACCTAATTCTTTGAGGAAGATGTTTTGCAGCCTTCTCTCTATATTTCCATACTTCAGTTATCTCCTTCCCCTTCACTCACCTATAGCGCAACACGATATCATGCACTTTTTCAATGGTTTCCAGTGTGGTTGTGGTTTTTGGCCATCCTTCACGCGAGTCATCTTTGAGGGATGTGCGACCAGGTTTAAATTCAGCTGCCCACTTTTTAACGGCTGACATGAAAGGAACAAAGTCCCTGTAAATTTTTATCAACTTTGGATAAATTTTCTTAGGGGTTAATCCATGTAAAACAAAGAATTTTATGACCACACAATATTCAAGTTTACACATTTTAATGAATAACATGCAAGACATCTACTGCGAAAATTTGTGTAAACAAACTACTTGAAAGAAAATGTTGAAACTGATCATACAGCAAAAGTCTTTAATCCGGACTCGTCGGGACTTCGGCGACTCCGGATTATAGATCCTCAGTTTAAATCTGGTAAGATGGCATGCAGAAATTATAAAATTAAAAATATGAAACAGTAATTTATGAAATAAAGAGCAATTATGATCTAAAGGGTATAAAAATTTACAAAAAAAAAAAAAAAGCTTAATATTGATTTGTTTACTTTATTAAACATTTCTTTCAACACGCGCATGCGTAAAGCATACGTTACGCATAGTCGATATCAGAAAATTGCAACCAGAAAACTAATGTGTATTCATGATATTTATAATAACAAGGAAATTGATTTAAATCATATCGGAGTACATCGAGATGAAACACTACATTTAGTAAAGAATTATAAGCCGAATAAAATAAAAACATCTGCCCTGAAGATGAGGATAGTGCTGACAGATCAAGTTCCAGTTCATTGTGCGCCGCGACGTTTTCCCTCCCCCCTGCAAGAGCAGCGTTAAATTGATAAACAGATTTTGGAATGGTTAGAGAAACAAATCACCTCTCTGTCCCTTTATGTCTTTATCCATTTTTTGCAGCAATTTCACTTTTTGTTTAATGGATATTGAAACGCTTTCGCTTTGTAGATCCTTTGGCAGCTCCAGAATCGGAAATTCTTTTCGACATAATTGAAAGTTCAAGCTTACTTTTATAAAATTGCTCTAACAGTCTGCAACAAATAAAAAGCCGGATCCAATTAGAAGATTAAGGAACAACGCAATCTGCAACATTAACTGAAATAGATAATTAGATAACTTTAGCTTAGCTTATACCGTCCGTTATACATTATACATGCGCAGAAAGTTTGTAGCTTTGAGGTCCGGATTATGGATGTCTGGATTAAAGACTTTTGACTGCACTAACTAGTGACATGTGCACCCAGGCAGGAAACATAAATTGTTGCTGACTGGAATGCCATCTCTGGGTCAAGCCAAGAACTTTTCAAATTACCCTTGTATCATGAATTGTATACACTTAAGTTGGATTAAAAGTTAAAAAAAAAAAAAAAAAAAAATCTTATTAAAGACTATTTGTTACTTTTAAATCATTAAGTCTGTCAGTAACATACAGATTAAATTTGACAGTTAAATATCTTATGGCACTGGTCTAAATATGAAATTGCACATGGGCTAAATGCACAATTTAAATGTATCTGCAATTAAAAAAAAGGAAAAAAAAAATTGTTTTTGTTACACAAAATTTGTTAACTAAATTTTTTAAAAATTACCATTTATTTGTCAAAATATATACATATAAATAAAAAAAAGAAAAGATTCATTTACACTTTGATATCTGTAAGAAATCTTAGTTGTCACAATTTGTAATTCAAATGCATGACACCTAAATATTAAAATTTTCAGATTTCATTTATTCTAAAAACTAATATATTGAAGTAACCACTAAATAACTTACTTTAAATAAAACCTAAAAAGAAATGTACAAAAACTTTACAAGAGGGACAAAAACGCAGAATAAATAATGACAACTTATTCTTTTATTTATTAATTTTTTTTGACACATACAGAAAAAGTAATATTTGTATATAAATTTTTTTATTTCATCCTGCACTTTTCAGTTACAACACCTCACGTGTTTTGCGTTTGTAAAACTGGAGAAAAGTTACCAGAGACTATCCTTACCATTGATTGTAGATCAGAGGCATAGCTAAGGTTTTCAGCGTCCGAGGACACCTAAAGATTTGTGCTCCTTTCTGTATTCCACGAATGGAAAACATTTCATTCTGAAATGTGTATCATCAATTTGGCCCGCCCTGGATGCTGCACCCAGGGACTGATGTCCCCCTTTGCCCCACCCTAGCTACGCCACTGTTGTAGATGTTCAGCAGCCAGTTTGGTCTTTATTTAGACTTGTTAACTTTCAACTATGTAAAAATACTGCTCGCATATAAATGCATTCCCAAACAAAGCCATTATCTTATTGCCAAAATTTGTAGCTAAGGATATTTTATCATTTGACATATACTAGTAAAAGTTAATAAAATTTATATCTTCAAGTCTTCGAATAAGATTTATACCATAGTGTAAATCGATCGGAGGTGTACTCTCGATCATCCAGGCTAATGCTAAAAAGCAAATCACAGATAATCCAAACGATTAATTTTCATGCATTATCTATGTGTTTATTTCTAAAAAAAATCTGCAATTTTACTTTGTTATTGAAAATTGTTAAATATTTGTAGAATTTCACTGCTTATTTTTTTTAAGTGCTATATTATCATTGCATTTAAACCCCCTTGGTCAATAAAACCCAAAAGAATACCAACAGCAGTCATTGCTATCTTGGGACTCATGAAATTGTCAGTACCTTCTTCAATTGCATTTTCATTATCATTCCTCTTCCCGCCTTTTTTTGTTCTTTCGACATTTGAAATGATATCTGCATCACTTGAGCATTCACAGCTTTGCTCAGTTGAGTCGCCCATCAAACTATTCCTCGATATTTTCCCTATCAACATTTTCAAAGAATTTCACATTAAAAAATTTTGGCATTAACTTCAGGTTTTTCTTCCTCACAACTAAACAAAGCTCTGATTTGCATGTTAGGAAAGTACGAAATAACCACTGAAACTAAACCTAAAGGTGCAATTCAGCACTTTATACAGCATGCTCGAACTTGTGGTGCTTTTTGCACACTTTTGCATGTAGTATTGAGTGTGCATGCACTGGCACTGCCACTCACAGATAAT